CATGAGAGCAATGGAGAATGATGACAGAGTACCCTGGTACAGGAATACCAGCTAACATGGGCAGCTTCTGTCACCCAGTCCATTGGCAGAAGCCAAGCATTTTGACAAGGTGTAGAGAAAACAGGTCACATTTGGAAGATACAAACACCTTCTCAGTTTCAGCTGTTCAATTTTGCTCAATTCTATTCTGTTCAGTTTTATCCCATTTCCCACATCAAAGTGAAACAGAGTAAGATGAAATAGAACAAAGAAAAAAAACCACAAAAACACATACCAAATACAGTCTGACTTTATTGAAACCATGTTTCCTTTTGGCAATCTTGCTGCACCTTGACATTGCAAATATTTATGCTGTTCAATTTATTTCAGTCGGGACTTTATTGCTTTGCTAATTCCTCATGTGTAAGGACAATCTTACAAAAAAAAAACCATTAGTGCTGACAGGTTTCTTTCTAAATTTAATTATTAATTCAGTTGCACATCAAGGGTTCAAAGGAAGGCAATACATGTCACAGGCCCCTAATTCAAAGGCATCTTTACAATCCTTTTTTATTTCAGGCAAAAACCTAATGGATAAAACAAACCTCCAACTATTCAAGTAAATGGCCAAGACCTCAGTAGTTTAAAAATTAGTTACAGATTCTGACAGCACCACTTGCTGGGTAACGTTTGATTGATTTTAAGCATTGAGGGTAGTAAACTCTAAGATTAAAGTGCTGAATAAAGAAGTCATAGAACACAACTTACTTTTGATCATGTTGTTACCATTTCTCCCTTCTCAAACTATTTATTTCTTTTAAATTATGTAGTAACACAAAAATGGCCAAAGAGTATCAAACCAAAGATCCTGTATGCAGTGGCCTGTAGCCTGATAACTGCAGCTAAACCCAGCAAGGATCTAGAACAAAGGATACAAAGGTTAAGGAAAACATCTACTCCAAGTGCTTTTCTACGACTTGTGTTTTGAGTTGAATGGCTTTTGAAATGCTTCAGGAATACAAAAATTTCTACTCTACCCAGCTACTAAACTTGATTCTAAGTTTCTCTTCCACTGCTTTTAAAAATAAGCTAAACTTCTCCAAATATAGATGCATTATATTTTCATAATCAAAATCAAAGAAAAGCAAGGGAGTAATTCAAGTGCTATCATAAAGCTAGTTCAGGAAAAAATAAGAGGCATCCTACTCTGGGGTATTTTCAGCCTTCGCTACCCATCTTTAGCTAAGAAAAAAACACAGTTGGATTTTTAGTAGTTAAACTATAAAAGCAAATACATCAGAAGAGGTTAGGAATTTTTCCAGAACACAGGCAGAGATATATACAGCAAAACACTAACTGCTTGCAAATAATGTTTGCTAACTGCATCCCAAGACACTCTAGGGACTTGCAGTCAGAGAAGCTGAGCATCCAGTTGCGCAGTAACATGAAGACGATACTGATCAGGTGTCTAAACACAGCAATAATTAGTAATCAAAGCAAGAATTTAGTGCACTGGGTTTGAAAATAAGCTCAGTCAAGCCTGAAGAATGAACCCAAGCGACCTGTTTCCTTTCAGATGAACATGAAAAGGATAGAGGTCTTTTCTTTAGAGCTTGTCCTGTTTCAGGTTCAATATTACCTTTAAACAAGATCCAGTAAGCGTTTTCATATTCTTCAGGCTAAAAGCTAGATCTCATCCTTCCTGCCAAACAAGCAAAAACAGGTGCTGCTTGCACTCAAGAATCAATTTATACATTGATCATCTTGACAGGGTGGGAGACTGGCCACAGAGATCCTGCCTGAGTCCTTAGCCAGATAGGAAACCACCATTATTCATTCACTCTGTGTGTTCTATCCATCTCTCATGATCTATTGGCAATAAATGTCCTATACATGCTGTAATAGGAAGTAATAAAGTTGTTGAACTACTACCTGATGAATCCACTCAAACAAATGAGCTTCATACATTCTATGAATTTCATCAGTAATGGAGAATTACAGCTCAAGATCAGAAACAAGCCAATTTGCTGAGAAGGTAGGGGATTCTGCCCAACCCTGTAAATCCTTCTGCTCCTCTGCTCCAACCCAACAGGTCAGCTTAAAGCTCTGCTACAGACAGTTTACCATAACGTTTGACTTTGTGCTGAAATAGAAGTACTTACCTTGTATAGCTACAGCTGAGAATTTGTTTATCATAGCACTGAGAGATTTTGCTGCCCAAGCAATTCCTGCACAGCTAACGAGATTCTCAGATTTAGAAGATCTGCAAGCTGTTTTGCCCCTTGTCTTAATTTCACTCAAAGAATTCCTTAACATTTAAACTCTATTAATATTCAAACAGTAAAGTCTTCCTTTCACATCACAACTGCCATCCTACTCTTTCCTCGCAGTAGTATTACAATGATAAAGCTTACACAGACAAGCTTATATAATCCAACTACTATCAGTTAGGATCTGGATTCCTTTCTCCAGCTGCTGAAACAACTCAGGAGCACCTTTATTCTTTTGGCTTTAAAAATATCATGTCATTTTACCGCAGTTCCTCCCATTTTGTAGCTTAGGTGAAATAACAGCATTTATAGGAACTATGCAACTATGCAGTCTGAAAACACAACTCCCAAGCCATAATTAGCATTTTGTAACTGCTTGGAACAATACTGAATTCTGACAATCCTGTGTTTATACTCTTCCTTACATCTTTGCTTTTGCCAAAGGAGTTTACTTATCTTGGAGTGACTCCTGTGTTGTGGAACTCAGTATCTTAATCATAAAAATCCAAGAGATACTGACCAATTTAGTTTCACTGTTTAAGCTGAATGGCAGAAAAAGGCAAAAGCAAAGCCATTTTTAAAAATTATAATGACAAAGTGCAAGGCAGTAATGAATAGGACTTAGCAACTTTGTTTCACAAAGGTGCCTCATATAGTCTCCATAGTAAATACTACGGTCGGCACATTTATCAAAAGTTTGATATGGAATTGTAATTGTACCCATTGTAATGAAGAAATTTACTGCATTCAAAACTAGCAATATTTCAGATTCCAACAGATAAATCTATATGATCCAATATTACTACAGAAACCATTTTCAGGTACTGAAGTATTCCAGTCCTGCATCTAAATTACATCAAGGCCAGCGCGCATATTTAAAAATTAACTTAATTGAGTTACAGATTTATTGATTAGGATCTTGCAAAGGGAAAAACAACTTCAGTGACAGCTAAGAAATCTCAAACTCCCATTTTCTGGTTCAGTTTACAGTGATAAGCATAATATTAACACGGTGCTCCTACATGTAAAATGTTGTATCATTTAAACACAAATTCTTTCCTTCGGAATTGTGAGCAAATTACTGAGATGACAAGAAATCCATAACATGGTAACACCCAATTCATGAATTCCCACGTTTCTTCCCAACAATCATATATATTGCATTTTTTACTTCATATTTTTCCATTACTAGATTTTATCATCTCAACATTAGATGACAATATTTATTTGGGTTTAAGACCAGTTCAAAGAGAGGGATAGTATCATACCCTCAACATAAGATGAAAATTTACAAACAGCGTCTGGCCATGTACTCAGCAACAGCAGCCTCCTCATCACGTGGGAAGCATTAACTTTCAAACGTTTCTTTAGTCTACCAGTATTTGGGCTTCACTCTTGATTACTCGCATTTAGAAACGTTGAACAAAAAGAGAATAATTTCAAACTGCTTTCCCAAAATTGGTATCGGATGTGTTCTCACTGCCTTTTCACATATTCCTGGACTGACATTCCAAATAGAAAGGAGGCTGGAAAGAGGTGTGTGGGTTTGGTTTAACTATCTGAAGCCCTTCCGTGCGTTTAGTTGAGGGTTCAGCTTCAGTCATATCTGCTGTGGCAACTGCATTAAACTTCAGTTCAATAGACGTAAGAGCAGAAATGCAACATCCGTCAGAAACATGAGGACAATTTCCATCTTTTTCTTTTTTATTTAACCACATTAACTACATGTCAACAGTTGGCATTAAACTTCATAAAAATACAGTACCTTTTTGTGCTGTAACACTAGTCACAATGTTTATATAAAGATTTTTTCCTGCTTCCTTGAATTCAGTTAACATTTTAAAAAGTGACTTCCCAAAAGCCCTTTTTGTGATAGTTTCCTTATAGAAATTTTTCCAAAATCTACTCTGTAAAAGTTAAAAAGCTAATGCATTTTCAGCCATTCTCCCTCACCCTCTCAATAAAACAGATTTTTAAAAAATAAGAAGTCTTAGAATACTGATCAGTTGTCACACTACTACTTTATCATAGGTTCCCATTTAATTGATACTGCTATAGGCGTGACAGATGCTATTCCTATAGCATCTAACATTGCTAGATGCTATTAGGGCTAAAAAGACCCGTCATATCAATAGACTGATGTCTGAACAAAAAAACCCAAGCCAAAACAAAGCCAAAACTTGAATGATATACAGAGAAACATTAGACTTCAAAAGTCTTCGACTGCAGAATCACAATTACTGTGATACTTCCCAATGTCAACAAACATATAATAACTATATCAAGTCAGTTAAACGACTAAAGGGTGTCCTTGCACTGGGTATCTTGGAAAGTGAATTCTCTAAATTCTTTACAACCTATAATATTGGTGTGACACCGAGATGACAGAAAAACTGCAGAACGAGTCTAATATTTTTGCAGCAATTATACCGATACAACTGACTACACCCATATCACAATTGGGTTAAATTTAACTTTTCTTTAATGCTGATAAAATCCCAGAAGGATTGAATAAATGGGGAAAGAAAACAGGGCATAAATTTTGAAAGTAATTTCTTACCAAGTTAGGCGCTGAAGGTCTAGTTAAGGCAGTGAAGGATTTATTTTAGTTTCTTTCTAAGGCTATGACATATTTTTCCTGAATAAAGAATTTTTCCTTAAACATTTCACGTTTATCATGCCAGCTTATTCTGAATGCATAAGAATGCTAAAAATCCTTGGACACCGAGAAGCTAAACTATTGCTCACTGCAAATATTACCCTTATTAGTCTTTTTTTTTTAATATCAGTAAGATTCCAAGAACATGCACCTAAATAATGAAGTTTCAAGTCTGCCTACAAACTTTTCCATTTCAAAAGCAAGCTTAAAAGCATGTGTTAAGTGATCCAACATGACAATTGTTCTTAATCCTCTCAAGGAAAAAATTTACTTCTCTCTGACATGACTGGTAAAACTACGTGACTTCAGAGAATTTCTAGTATCACCTTTTCCAGAAAGGAGATGAGTAATGAAAGTGACACGAGAAATGTGATGCCAGATGCTATAGCACCATTCCTTTGTTCCTCACTGCTAGCACCAACGCATTAAACAAACTTGCTTTGCTAAGACATTCTGACAGTCCCATTTCACAACATCATTGATTTTGAGAATGGAGTTACTTCCCATAGCTACTTTTAACTCTTTTTGGATCAGTGTTAAATAAAATGTGCAAACATATAATCATTTGCATAGCAAATCTCAAGGGACTGACCCTGAAATAGAAATCCAAACTGTTAGGTTTAAGATATTTCTATAATCAGAATTCACTTAAAACGGTAAATAATAAAATACACATTTTTCCATTTTAAGTCTAGTAGAAAAGGTATTTCTGATTTAGCATTCTTATAGTTACTAGTTTAAAAAGTTGAAAGAGATGGTTCTTTGCATTGAAATGTTATTCCTTTGGAATCTTCAAGACTCTGTAATTGCTATTTTCAAATACTGTGATGAAATATGGCCTGGAATCCTTGCTCATAAGGGTACATAAAGGGATTTTTCCACTATTAGCAGGATCTTCAACATCCCAAATTTCAGGCATACTGCAACCAGGCCTAGAAAACATAGGAATATGAAAAGAGAAATGAAGAAATGCCATCAAAAAGCATACAGCTTGCTGAACTCAGTTTTATACACCACCCATGAAAACTTGATTGTGCCTTCTACACTTTAAGGTTGTATTTGTACTAGAAATTCTTAGCAGAGTAGAAAAATCAATAAATATAGTAGTAATTAAAAAAATAGTATTGAGAATATGTAAAATTTACCTGCTTTTGTGGTTACATGATTAGTAAGAATTAATTTGGAGGAGGAAGCAAATAAAACAACACAAATTATACAATATAAATTATCGGACACCTTTACAACTTCCTGTAAAACAGATGGTGATGTTCACACTCCTAACATTTCTAAAGAAAACTCAGGAAATAAAACACCTATAAAAAAAGGTAGTAACTCCTTGCTTTTTTATTAAGGCACATAACCAACATCAATTCCCTGTGCATTTATCTTTTGAAGGTAGAACTACTGAGAATTTCCTAATTTTGTCAAAGATAATAGCAAAGAAATAGAACAGATTAATTTAATTTTATTCTAAATGCAAATAAAATAATATTAAAAAATCCAAACTAATTGTGTTCTAAAGGTCAAAAAGAGAACTTGGGGGGAAAAAAAAAAGCAGCATCGCTTTTTCTTAAGGACAGCTTAAATATGATAAAATTTTGGTGCTCAAACTGTCTTTTACTCTACACCTTTTATATATACTGAAAACCCAGTATGAACACACATCTGTTCTTGCCATCAAAGAATGACCTGTCTCACTTATGAATCTCTTCTGTATGTTACAGTGAAGTTTGAAAATACATACAACACAGCTTCTCAGGTACACACAAAGACCACAAGGTTACTAATGTGGGTCAAGTTAATTATACTTACTAATATATCTGGAGATGCTGGGCAAAAATGTATTTTGGACACTTAATAAAGCACAGATCAGCATTTCAAAACTACTACTGGATACGAATCTTAGACTACGTATTTGAGTGGCATGTCAGTCTTTTGAGAAAGACAGATTACTCACTTTTTTCTGCTTACACACAATGACTCTTCCAGAATGTAGTAATTCACTCCCAGTTTTATCAATTCTCTTTTTACCTCTTTTGCAGGTTTTCGACTGTACATGGAATACACTACTTTAGTTCTGGCCCTTCAAAAAGGGAAATACAAAAGTTAGCTAGCAACACATCATGAAAATGTAAGCATTAACTTTAGACTGGACAGAAAGGCTTTTTATTTCACAAGATAACAAGGCTAAAACAAAGTTTAAATTAATAGTGCTACTTGTTTTAATGTGATTGCCTCTTCACAAATATAATTATACCAAGAACAATGGTATAATTGTTCCAACAGCCCTTTGATTTTTCTGTATCTGTACACAACTTTGTAACACAATCTCTGGTTACTGTGAAAAGAAAATGTAACGATGTCAAAGCAATGCATTCACCATATAATATTCAAGGCTAGAAACAACCTTCATAGAATCACAGAATAGTTTGGGTTGGAAGGGATCTTCAAAAGGTCACCTAGTCCAAGCCCCCTGCAATGAGCAGGGACACCTTCACCTAGACCAGGTTGTTCAGAGCCCCATCCAACCTGACCTTCAATGTTGCCAGAGTTGGGGCATCTACCACCTCTCTGGGCAACCAGTGTTTCACCATCCTCATTGTGGATTTTTTCTTCCTTATATCCAGTCTAAATCTATCATCTTTCAGTTAAAACCATTACCCCTTGTCCTATCACTACAGGCCCTGCCCTGCTAAAAAGTCTGTCTTCATCTTTCTTAAACCCCCTTTAAGTACTGGAAGGCTGCAATAAGGTCTCCCCAGAGTCTTCTCTCCTCCAGGCTGAACAACCCCAACTCTCTCAGCCTGTCCTCATAGGAGAGGTGTTCCATCCCCTCAACCATTTTTGTGGTCCTCCTCTGGATCCTCTCCAACAGGTCCATGTCTTCCCTGTGCTGAGGGCTCCAGAGCTGGATGCAGTACTCAGGTGGGGGTCTCCCCAACATGGAGTAGAGAGGCAGAATCACCTCCCTCGACCTGCTCACCATGCTGCTTTTGATGCAACCCAGGATACGGTTGGCCTTCTGGGCTGTGAGTGCACATTGCTGGCTCATGTCCAGCTTTTTCCTCCACCAGCAATCCCAAGCCCTTCTCAGCAGGGCTGCTCTCAATCCCTTCACCCCCCAGCCTGTACTGATACCTGAGGTTGCCCCAACCCAGGTGCAGGTCCCCGCACTTGGCCTTGTTGAACCTCATAAGGTTCACACAGGCCATGCCATGAGCTTGTCCAGGTCCCTCTGGATGGCATGCCGTCCCTCAGGCGTGTCAACGACATCACTCAGTTTGGTGTCGTCTGCAATCTTGCTGAGGGTGCACTATATCCCACTGCATGTGTCATTGATGAAGATATTAATACTACTGGTCCCAGTAAGGACCCCTGAGGGACATCAGTCATCACTGATCTCCATCTGGACATTGAGCTGTTGACCACTACCCTCTGGGTGCAACCATCCAACCAATTCCTCATCCACCAAACAGTCCACACATCAAATCCGTATCTCTCCATTTTAGACAGAAGCATGTTGTGCAGGACTGTGTCAAAGGCCTTACAGAAGTCCAGACAGGACACTGGTAGCTCTTCCCTTGGCCTTCTATAATGGAGTGACCACATCAGTGGACACTAGGTTGGTCAGGCAGGACTTGCCATTGGTGAAGCCACGCTGGCTGTCTCAAATCACCTGACCTCCATGTGCCTTTGCATAGCTTCTAGGAGGATCTGTTCCATGACCTTCCCCGGCACAGAGACGAGGCTGACACGTCAGTAGTTCCCAGGGTCCTCCTTGCTACCTTTTTTAAAAATGGGTGCAGTGTTTCCCTTTTTCCAATCTACAGGGACTTCACCTGACTGCCATGACTTTTCAAGTATCACGGAGAGTGGTTTGGCAATTGCATCAGCCAGTTCCCTCAGGACTCTGGGATGCATCTCATCAGGTCCCATAGACTTGTACATGTTCAGGGTTCTCAGGTGGACCCTGATTGGTCCGGAGGTGATCAGAAGTAGTCATCTGCCCAGTCTCTCTGGAAAAGGCCATACTCATTGCCCTTTTTCAGTTTTTTTTTAAATGCAGAGCGCAAGATCTGATGTCTGCCTATGTTGAATCAAGCAAAATCATCACTTGTAAACCATGATCCTGTTTATATTACCCAGTAATATCCCCCTTTTGGTTGTGGAAACCATGACGTTAACTCCTGATCCTTTTCCGATGCTGTATCACGCTTATTTTATCACTTACTGTATGATAGCTTATTTTCCCCAAACATGCCCTGTCCTGTATTTTTGTAGTTAGAGTAGAATAAAATAGAGTATTTCAGTCGGAAGGGACCTACAATCATCATGTAGTCCAACTGCCTGACCAATTTAGGGCTGACCAAAAGTTAAAGCCAGTTAATAACAGACAGAGAGCTAAGGCATGTAAAATGCCCCTTTCTCTCTCTCTATTTTTTTGTTGTCTTGTTGTGGTTTTTTTTAACCAGTTTTACCAAATTACCAAAAAATGATGTTATGATATTAAAATTAAAATAAGAAATTAATGACCTCTTCAGATAAATCAACTTCAATTTATAAAACTATCCTGATTTTGAAAATAACAAAGTACAAAACTCAGTAAACCCATTACAAAATTTCAGTTTCAACTTGACTTAATATTTCAATAATTAGATATATTATAATGAAATAAATTACAACCAGTCACAGAAAGCTAACAGGAATAACTAAACTGGCTATCTTGAGGAAAAAGTTCAAGTCTGTCTACAATGTCAGGAGTAACGAGAATAAAGAAAGGATATAGTAGTATACGTTAATTCCAATTCCATAATTATATTCTGCTTTTTTCTGAATATAAGTTTGAAGCTATATCTATTCTGCAGTATATCCTTTCTGAGAAACACAAATCCTGAAGAAATACTGCATGTGTTTTCTATCTGACTAAAATAACAAATTGAGTTCTATGGGGTTTTAACAAATTTTCCTTACTTTCCTACTGTATACCACGAACATTAAGAGAATTAATAGCAAATAAAAGTAAATCCTCAACTTTTAAATTTACCTTAATCCTGCATCTTCATAGTGAGGATGATTTACAATAGGACGAAGCGTAGACAATTTAACACTTGCCATCGTAGGCATCGCTCCTGCAAAAACTGCATCTGAAATACAGCATTAAAGACATTTTTAAAATGAAGAATCAAGCAGTAAAAGCAGAGAACCAATCTTCAAATATCTCAACAGTAATCCTGTAGGTAGGGTACTCTTTTTGAAAAGGCCCTACATGGCGCTAACAGGAGATGCACAAAATCTTTTTTTTTTTTTTAAACCTCAAACTCAATACAAGTCATTAGATAACTAAACATCTAAGAACAGAAATTTAATACATCTTATTCTTCTTGAATGGGTAGAATAACATAGTCATTATGACAACATGTTTTTATTTGTCACTTCTTACACCATTGTTAAATGAGCAATAAAAAAATCTTTGTTCACTTCAGCTTGAAAGTATTTTCCTGCTAGAAAGTTAACTACTTTGTTTCCAGCTAGTTTTCTGACCCTTTTACTCATTTTAGTCAAAGGATGCATGCAACCACAGCACACACACTTTGAATTCTCTTCTACTTTTGTTGTAGAAATACACCACTAGTGGCTACAATTTCCAGACTGTTAGCCTGGAGTCTAACAAAGCAAGCTTTTGATGTTTTTTTCATTTGAGATAGCTTCTATATGGACCTGTATATGTGACTAAACCATGGCTTTAGGATAGTCCCAAGGCAAGGCCACAGATAGTAGCAATACTTCTGCAGCCATTCATACCAAGTTCTATAGTTACATCTCACAGTAAATGGGGAACATCATACATTATTAAATAGGTTACCTTGTCTGGTATTGACTTTTATCCACTCTAAAAGTTCCTCTTGTGGCAAATTGCTAAATTCTCCCATGATATTCCACTGAGTTTGAAGGTTTGCTGATCCCTCTATTGCCATCAATGCTAAAATAGCAAAGACCAATGTTTTGGGCTGGATTTTACAGAAGAGCCATCCAAATAACTGAAATGCAAGAATCAGTTAATTTCTAGACAACAATTCCGTAATGTTGAATGCAGCATAACTCATTTTTATTTCTCTATAAGGAACCTAACATACATTACTATATGAAACATCTCTGCTATTGCTTCTCCACTAAACTTCCATGAGACCTCAAAAGAAGTATTCATGTGTACTATATTTGTAATTCTACAAAACAAAAAAGAAAATTGACACTAATGTAGCTTTTAAAGTTTCATTAAAATGTCAATTCTGCAAGTAAAGATGATTCAGTAATACTAACTGCACTTTTACAGTATTTTATCTGCTGTTTACATCAACAGTTTCTAGCTGTAGTATATGGATTAGAGATTGTACTGCAAACTTCCAAAAACAGAAATCAGAAGTGCAGACTTTGGGGACATAAGGTTAATGTTGCTTTATATCCTACTCTCCCCTTTCTTGAACTGAAAAAAATGGCCCTTTCATTTTTTACTAAAGATTGTTTGCCAGAGGCTCTAAGCAAATACTCATAAATATGTGAAAAGGGTAGGAAAGAAATACCAAATTTGCTATTTCCAAGCTTAGTTTGAGGAAGAACACTTTATCTCATCCATATCTGACCTAAACCTTAAATAAGACAAAGTATGAATTATTTTTTTTTCTCAAGTTATTGTTAATTAGAAGTAAGGCTCCATGTTTCAAAAATAACAAACCTGCACTAAATAAATATATTTCAGAGTACCTTTACCCATTTTTTTAATTAAAACATGAAATGACAAAATAGAGTTTCACAGTAAAACGGCCCACTATGCTGACTACACCAATTAGACATCAATGTATGCTATCTTTGCTATAAACTAACTGTAAACTACTTAAGATTATTGAAACTCCCAACCACCTCTCCAAAAATGCAGTGCACTCTACTCTCATCCTCAAAGACTTGCTAAACACTCGAGCAAGAACAGCAGTACTATCCAGGGAAACTTAATATACTAAATATGCCTGACGACTGTGTAGGTCTGGAAGGGTGAAGGGAAATAAATTCATTTGTACGCTGTTCCACATGAACAAACCTTTTTACCAAGTCACAAAAATGTCACTTCAAGAACATGTTAAAACTTTGGAATTCTTTATTAAGTTCCATGGTTTTTCAAATCAAAGAAAAATCACATTCCTATCACGCTTTTATAAAACCTCATTAATGTTCAGAGTATCTAAATTTACTACTATTTTGTTTACATAAAGAGCTTAGAATGGTCGAACATATATGCAATGCAAAAGAAGCATTTCTTTTACAGGATGCTGTTCCTTGTGTGTTTTTTCTATCAATTCAAGTGTTTTTATTTCTTTTTGACAAGCGACTATGTTAAGTCTTTCTCCAGCTATTTTTCTTTTCTTTCAAAATTTCCACTCAGAACAGTATAATTGCTCCTAACAGAAAGGGGAAATGTGTGGATGTAGAGAGTTATAACTTTTATTGTCCATCGGGTGCCACAAACTGCAACATTGAGGTAATGGAAAGTACACAGATTCATGCAATGGGCTGAAAGAACACAACATAAAAAATTCCTTTTCCATGTGCAGAATAATTCTAGTATGGCTTTTGCCTGTTTGTTCGTTTTTGGGTTGCATTTGAAATGTTCACCTCAGGCTGACTGTGCACTAATAAAAGGATATATTTTGAAAGGAAGCTGATTAATGAGTTATTGATCTATAGCCTCAAAATAAATTAGTTATACTAACATACCACTGCAGGTAAACTTTCATGGTCTGATAGAGGAAGGGATAGTGTTGACCGTAATTACAATGAGATAATTACATATGTTAAACTTGCTTGAATTTTTCTTACAGCTGTAAAAACAAACTGTTGCTTATTAACTTATCCTTTAGGCAAACATCTAAAACTTTACATAATGATAAATGTACAAAGTGTTAATTGCTTGCTCACAAGTCCCATCTTCCCCTTTTCATCTCCCTCCATCACAGCAATTTTTCTGAATCTATATTGCACATATGGTCAGATTTTTCAACCTCAAAATACTACTTCTGCTTCAGCCAGTAGGACAGAAAAAGCTCACTAAAAACCACTTGATATTTTCCTGACCCTACCCCCAAAAAAAAAAAGTTTTTCTTATCCCTTTGCTTGCTTAAGTCAGAGCAGAAGTGATCTGATCAATAGTGGCTCAACAGCCTGACGGGCCAGTGTTCCTCTCTCATGCTGAAGCCAGTCATGTATTACCTGGAAAATTGCCAGCCACTCCCTACTAAAGAAGGCATACATCAGTCAGACCAGAAAAAATTTGGCTTGTCTTTTACAGGTATCAGCACCAACCTAGGGAACACACCAAAAAGGCTAAGGAACCTTCATTGGTAACAACACAAGGGAATTTATTCTATTTTTACTTTCATTGTTGGGTACTCTTGAACACAGGCATGTACTTCTAAGGCCCAAGCCAGGGCCAGGATAATCACAGGCCTTATTATATGGGGCAGCTGGTGATACACCATCTTCTGCACAGAAGAACTGTCCAAACGGCAGTAATCTAAAGCCTTACCTTCCCTAGCATTCAAGACCTATTTCTTTCAAGACAACTGTGCCTCCATGATGCTGCAAAGGAGCACAAAAAAAAACTCACTGGACCTGAGCCATCTGGTCCAACAGGGGCAGCTCCCAGAATAGATTATACATCTGAATCCGTAGCTTCCTGAGAAGTTTACTGTCACTCTACAACCACAGAAAACAGGAGAACAACCCAAGGGCCAAAATGCACTCAGAAGCAGAAGAAAAGAAAATATTGATAAAATCCTGTGAACCTGTCCTTCTTCCAATATTTACACAGTGTTAAGATGTGGCATCCTCCAAGATCCAAAATGCAACGATTACCAAAAGCACCAGTTTTCATTAACTGACCTGACGACCTTAGCTGCAGTACTAAAACGAAAACCACAATGATCCATGATGAATCACTGTAGTGCCATTACTCAGGTGCTTTAACAAAAGAGAAGTAAAGATATCACCATCTGAAAATTTTACTAATTTGCTATATAGCAACTAACTTACTATATAGAAAAAGGCAAAACGAGGCTACATATTAATAGACACCATTCTTAGCAGCTCATCTTTTAGTCATTACCAGTTGCAAGGTACTTTCTCCTATCTTCCAGAGATCATTTCTCTCCATACAGAAAAAAAAAAAGTTCAGATTCTATTGTTTTTCAATTCTCAGAGGGCTGAGAGGCCTTTCCCTGTGGCACAAAACATAGAAATACTTTTAGTTTTAAACTTCACTAGAAAATTCTACAAAAATTTTTCAATGACAGGGCAGAAAAGCCCATCAATTTTTTTTTTTTTGGGGGGGGGCAGAACACAGAGTTAAAACAAGAAGATTTAAAAACAAATTAAGTTTGGACAGAATTAATTTATTGTAATTGTTATCTAGAAATCGTACATTAAAAGAAGATAGACTTTTTGCTTTTCTGACTTTTGAAAAGCAGCCTCATTTCAAATTACTCAGAAACTTCTTGTGGAAGTTCATTCAGAAGAATTTAACCATGGTGTAACTGCTGTTACTTAAACAACCAGACCACCTAAAAGGGCACTAATACTCCAAGAACTACTAAGAGCTGGGAAACAGAACACCTTGGAATCTTAGGGAATAGCAAGAGCATAGAGGAAAAGTAAATAAAGTTACTTTTTAAAGAGGATTTTAGCATTTTATATGTTCACTGTACAGATTCATTTGATGTTGGCAAACAGCACTTTTACCTATGCCAAGTAACAAAACAGGCAACAAGAAAGTGATGAGCACAACACTGAAGCACACTGATACTGCGTAGCCTGTCCAGCACTATCAAGAAGTGTCCTTCCCTGAAAGAACATCCAGGGAATCAACCCAGTTTTCTGGGAAACAGTCATATGTTCAACTGCCTTAACATGGGACAACTTTCTCCTCTTTGCATAATTCTGTCTCATTCACTCACCTTTGGTTGTAGGACACAGGTGTCAGATGTTCCACAACCAATAACTGTCTTCACCATACAACCCTAATTTACCTTTAGGACAGGCTCCAACCACAGATATTGTGGGAAAAACAACATGTATCGGGCATTATAGTCTGTATCATATTGCATATGCACAAGGCAGCCAGAAAAAGGCTGTACATACACCATTGGTTCTGGCACTCCGGATTTTGAGTACTGAGCTTTGTAATGTTATTCTTGTATTTCTTCAATTTTCAAGAACAGCAAACCTAACAACTCAGGTTTTTCATTAAAATCCTAATTTTCTTCCCCAGCCATTGCTAGTTTCCTCAGTCTATCAAATATTTTTCTCTTTTCCTTCTTCTGTATTATGTCCACAACGGTTCTTAGACCTGGATTCTTTCTCCCACTCACCCTCATGGTGATGTTCTCCATACAGACATTTTCACGAGTTCCCCATCTCATCTTTCCAATTTGTTTTCTAGTTAGTAAGCCCAGCTCACTATTAATCATAATCTTTCACATTCTCAGTGTGGGATACTTATTTTGTGTGATGTAAATAACACTTTCTACAAAATCACAGCATGGCTGAGGTTGGAAGGGACTTCTGAAGGTCATCCGGTCCAGCCCCCATGCTCAAGGAGGGCCACCTAGAGCCAGTTGCCTGAGACTGTGCCCAGACAGCTTTTGAGTATCTCCAAGGATGGAGACTCCACAGTCTCCCTGGGCAACCTGTGCCAGCGCTTGGTCACCTTCATAGTGAAAAAGTGTCTCCTGGTGTTCAGAGGGAACCTCCTGTGTTTCAATGCGCATCACCTCTGGTCTTGTCACTGGCATCACTGAAAAGAGCCTGCCTCTGTTCTCTTTACACCCTCCCTTCAGGTATTTGTACATGTTACAGAATCACAAAATCATTAAGGTTGGAAAGGACCTTCAAGATCATCAAGTCCAACCATTAACCCAACACCACCATGCCCACTAAACCATGTCCCAAAGCATCATATCCACACATTTTTTGAATACTTCCAGAGATGGTGACTCTACCACCTCCCTGGGCAGCCTGTTCCAATACCTGACCACTCTCTTGGCGAAGACATTTTTCCTAATATCCAATCTAAACCTCCCCTGGCATAACTTGAGGCCATTTCCTCTCGTCCTATCACTAGTTACTTGGGAGAAGAGACCGATACCCACGTCGCCACAACCCCCTTTCAGGTAGTTGTAGAGAGCAATAAGGTCTCCCCTCAGCCTCCTCTTCTCCACACTAAACAACCTCAGTACCCTCAGCCACTCCTTGTAAGACTTGTTCTCCAGATCCCTCACCAGCTTCGTTGCCCTTCTTCGGACACGCTCAAGCACCTCAACATCCTTCTTGTAGTGAGGGGCCCAAAACTGAACACAGGATTCAAGGTGCGGCCTCACCAGTACTGAGTACAGGGGCACAATCACTTCCCTACTCCTGCTGGCCACACTGTTTCTGATACAGGTCAGGATACTGTTGGCCTTCTTGGCCACCTGGGCACACTACTGGCTCATGTTCAGCTGGCTATCAGCCAGCACCCCCAGGTCCTTTTCCACTGGGCAGCTCTCCAGCCACTCCAAGCCTCTAGTGTTGCATGGGGTCGTTTTCAGAAACAGGAGGGCTAAGCATGGGGTTGTTGTGGCCAAAGTGCAGGACCCTGCACTTGGCCTTATTAAGCCTCATACAGTTGACCTCGGCCCATCGATCCAGCCTGTCCAGATCCCTCTGCAGAGCCCTCCTACCCTCCAGCAGATCAACACTCCCACCCAACTAGATGTCATCTGCAAACTTACTGAGGGAGCACTCGATCCCCTCATCCAGGTCATCTATAAAGATATTGAATAAGACCGGCCCTAGAACCGAGCCCTGGGGAACACCGTTTGTGACCAGCCACCAGCTGGATTTAACACCATTCACCACAACTCTCTGGGCTCGGCCGCCCAGCCAGTTCTTTAACCAGCGAAGAGTACACCTGTCTAAGCCATGAGCCGCCAGTTTCTCCAGGAGAATGCTGATAGGATTGCCCTGAGGCTCCTCTTCTCCCGACTCAACAGTCCCAGCTCTCTCAGCCTTTCCTCATAGGAGACATGCTCCAGTCCCTTAATAACCTTCGTGGCCCTTTGCTGGACTGTCTCAAGTATGTCCATGTCTCTCTTGTACTGGTATGTCCTTGTCTCTCTTTTACTGGGGAGCCCAGAACTGGACGCAGCACTCCAGCTGTGGCCTCACCATTGCTGAATAGAGCACCTCTCCCAACTTGCTGACAACACTCCTCCTAACACAGCCCAGGATGCTGTTGGCCTTCTTTGCAGCAAGGGTATATTGCTGGCTCATGTTCAACTTGGTGTCCACCAGAACCCCAGGTCCTTTTCTGCAAAGCAGCTTTCCAGCTGGTCAGGCCCCAAGCATGTACTGGTGCCTGGGGTTGTTCCTCCCCAGGTGCAGGACTTTGGAGCTCCCCTTTATTGAACTGCATGAGGTTCCTGCCAGCCCATTTCTCCGGCCTGTTGAGGTCCCTCTGGATGGCAGCACACCCATCTGGTGTACCACCAGAGCCACTCCTCCCAGCTTTGCACCATTAGCAAACTTGCTGAAGATGTACTCTGTCGCATCATACAGACCATTAACAAAGATGCTGAACAGGACTGGACCCAGTATTGACCCCTGGAGTACACTGCTATTTACTGGCCTTCAATCAGTACCACTGATTAACCTCTCTAGGCCCAGTCGTTCAGCCAGTTTCCAATCTACCTCCCTGTCTCCTTGCCAGACAATGGAATGCTTACCCTACTTTTGCTGCAACTGTAAGCTTCTGAAACAGCTATTTAGATACAGATTCAATCAAGTTCACATCTCAAAAACACAGATGCTGAAACATGGAAAGCCAATTCTAACACCTTTTGTATCTGGAGAAAATCTAGTAACGTTTTATGTTATGCATGATTTCAAGCTAAGAAAATTAAATCTGAGTTAGGCATATGAGTTGATTTTTAAGGCTGAAATGTTTTCAACATGCAAGACTTCAAAACTGTACTTCTGGAGAGAATACACAAAAAAAGATGCAAGGCAGTAAGCTCTAATGAGTTGTGAAAATACAGTGTAAACAAAGTCAAACACTGTTTAGATAAAATTAATAGTCAGTAACAAACTTGCAATGGCATAGAAATGTCTACATACATTAAAATCCAGTGTATGTCTCCCTATGCTCAAGCTTAATATACAGCATATTAACTCATAGTCATGCAATTGGACAAGTTGCATAAAACAAGACATTTGCTTTATTTGGGTAGAGGGGAGAATGGAACTTGTGTAATCATATATTTTGACAGGTTTATTTTTAACTGGTACACTCAGATTCAGCAATTACACACAGAAATTTACTTTAGGACAAATATCTGCGTAATACTGTAAGTACTGAGATAGCTACAGGATTAAAAAAAGACCTTACCTGTTTTGAACACACCAAGGAAGCCATAACACACAGATGTGGTGTCAAAAACAGTTTTAGTCTCATGATTAAAATTGCTAGGACACTGTATGCCAACAGCTGCAGCGCATGGTATACCAGCTGCAAAAAAACCAAAAACAAACACACAGAATCATAATATTTGCATACTTTTCATTTGCGTCTTAAACATACAACATTATCAGTACAGTTTAAGTGACAAGCTTGTCTGAAAAAAGAATCCAAGTCAAAGTAAAGATCTTCACATTTCAGATAGTGCTAAGGACTTTGTTGCCTTTTTTCTAAAGTGTATGCAGTATGCTAAGCTATGGAACAACAAGAAGGATAAACATTAGCATGAAAACCAAAAGGAGCGGGAGAAATGTCTAGCTATACAAAAGATCCTGAAACATAAACACACAATAATATATGTAAAATTTTTTGTATAACCTCTTTATAGAAGTGAAATGACTTTGCTATTTAATATCTAAAATATTTAACTATGAAATGAGAGGCAAATAAATTCATCCTTGGTACTCACACAAGCACAGGCAGCTTGCTTTAGTACTCTCAGAAAAGGTTAAAAAGCATCAGAGATGTCACTCACCACTCCTAACATTGAATCTATGTTACTTGTGGAAATGTTGAGGTGAATCATAGAGGCATTTTTGCAATCAGTGCTTTTATCTCATTGATTATCATATTTTGAATGGCATGAGATTTCTCTCATAGCACAAACCACAAAAACGGTCGTTAAGAAAGTTTTGCACTATCCTTGCTGAGTTAATTGCAAATAAATAAACCACACAGGAAAGCAGCCATTCAATTACATTTTTTGCATAATTTTATCAAAAGAACCACACGTAGAATTGTTTTCATTATGGCATATTTCAAAACACAATTTTAACATTATCTGTCACATGAATCTCCAGTAAAGGTACCAATCTCCTCCTCAGTCTATATGGGGAAAACAGAAGGTCTAGCATGATTTCAGTGTCTTTCTGTACTGCTACAACAAAAGCTCAAACGATTCCTCTCTTGCACTGCCACCCCACCATTAGCTAGTATATTTTTTGATCAACATTCCAGAGTTATTCTGGTGGCATACTGGACCAAATTTAAGATGGGGGAAAAAAAGATGCAAATACCTTCAAATAAACCATGTATCAGCATCAGACCATTGCAATCTGTATTTCAATATTGAGTATTCACATTAACATACAAAAAAAAAATTGTGCAGAAAAAGAACCTTACCTCACCATGGTTAAAACGTTCCTCTCTGAATAAAAAACAGAAAATCACATTATTTGTTTGTATACTAAAGAAGCACTAGTTTTAAAGTAATCTATAGTGGCTCTAGACAACTGAACTAATCTAACTCCTAACACAGCCTGAGTCAGAACCTGCACAGATTTTTTTCACCTCTATGACAAGCCTTGAAATATATTGCAAATCAGTAACTATCTTCCTCAATCCCTGTACCTATTTGGAAATCAGAAAATTAATTTCAGCAGTTTTTTAATTACTTCCATGAATTATTTCATACATAGAACAGCTTATTTAGAAAATGAAACCTCAGTAACATAAAAGAGGCAGAGCACTTGTACCAAAAGAAGAGTCAGTCATTTACTCAGATACAACATAGATTGGTTTTGGATTCTCAGAAGGAAATACAAATGTGAAGAGTCAAAATCATGTGTATTTGTTGTTCTCCAAAAACATCTGTGAAGACAGGATGCCAAATCATGCCCACATCTGTTGAAATCTTGATAATGGCCAATAGACTATGGAAAGCAGAGATCACTGACATTATTTTGACACTGTCTCCCATAACATCCTCATAATGAAGCTCAGGAAGTATGGGTTGGATGAGTGGACTGAGAGATGGATCGAGAACTGGCTAAAGCAGAGCTCAAAGGGTTGTGGTCACCAGTGCAGAGTCCAGTTAGAAGCCTGTAGCTAGTAGTGCTCCCCAGGGATCAGTACTGGGTCCAGTTTTGTTCAACATCTTCATCAATGACCTAGATGAAGGGCTGGAATGTACCCTCAGCAAGTTCGCTGATGATGCAAAACTGGGAGGAATGGCTGATACACCAGAAGACTCTGCTGCCACCAACACGGGATCTGGACAGACTGGAGAGCTGGACAGAGGGGAACCTCATGAAATTTAACAAGGACAAGTGTAGAGTTCCACACCTGGGGAGGAACAACCCCATGCACCAGTACAGGTTAGGGGTTGACCTGCTGGTAAGCAACTCCATGGAGAAGGACCTTGGAGTCCTGGTAGACAGTAAGTTATCCATGGGACAGCAATGTGCCCTGGTGGCCAAGAGGGCCAATGGTATCCTGGGGTGCATTAAGAAGAGTGTGACCAGCAGGTTGAGAGAGGTTACACTCCCCCTCTACTCTTGCGCTGGTGAGGCCTCATCTGGAGTATTGTGTCCAGTTCTGGGCTCCCCAGTTCAAGAGAGACAGGGAACTTTTGGAGAGAGTCCAATGGAGGGCTATGAGGATGATTAAGGGACTGGAACACCTCTCGTATGAGGGAAGGCTGAGAGACCTGGGGCTGTTTAGTCTGGAGAAGAGAAGGCTGAGAGGTGACCTTATCAATGTCTATAAATATCTGAAAGGTGGCTGTCAGAAGGATGGAGCCAGTCTCTTTTCAGTAGTGCCCAGTGACAGGACGAGGGGCAATGGGCATAAACTGCAGCACAGAAGTTCCACCTCAACATGAGGAAAAACTTCTTTACTGTGAGGGTGACGGAGCACTGAAGAGGCTGCCCAGAGAGGTTATGGAGTCTCCTCCTCTGGAGACCTTCAAAACCCAACTGGAAGTGTTCCTGTGCAACCTGTGCTAGACGATTCTGCTTTGGCAGGGGGGTTGGACCAGATGATCTTCAGAGGTCCCTTCCAACCCCCACCATTCTGTGATTCTGTGATTAGTGATAAATTTAAAAAAAAAAAAAGGACAAAAGATATGTCAAGGAAATGACAACATTCAATTGCCCAAATTGACTGCTCTTGAGCACAGCATCAACAAGTAATGCCAAATGGCTGTGACAGGTACAGCATATATTACAGATATTTAGAAAATAAAATGCATTTGGGTTCCCTTCGTAAGGATGAAACTCAGGTATCTTTATAACCTGGGAAAAAAAAAATAACAGGGAAGACAGGGAAGAAAGAATTTGCATTCACTAATTATAGGAGAAAAGTGAATAGGCTCATAAATAAATATTGGTTTAGGAGCAGAGCAGAAAAATAAATGATTAAACAGAAAGTTTGGGGGTAAGAGGGTTAAGACGTCTAAAACTTAGTTCTAGACATCCTATAAAAATACCACATCTACTACATCCAATCCATTCAGTTACTGAACTATAAAAAACTTGCCCTTCAAAAAGGACCAACATAATGTAAAATTCTGAATTATTCAGCATATAGCAAATCAACTAAACTTCCAGCAGAAAATTCAGGTTTACATTAAAAAAGACAACAATATTTACCTTTCATATTGGCCCGCCTGAGATAAGGCCCACCTAAGGTATTTAATTGCCTTAAGAAAAGAAGAGCCAACAGAAAGTATGAATAAACTTTCAAAAGCATTCTAAAGCATTTTCAACATTTGCTCAATCAAATTACACCTGGGTAATCTCATTTTGAGTTAACACTAAAATAAAGACATGCAATGTTTTAGCTAAAAATTGTTTTTGAGGATATTTAATTAGCCAGGCAGTTAGCAGTTATCGCATCTGTTCCTGTGTAAACTGTAACTTGTTTTTACACAAATTACACACAATCAAATTTACAAAAATAGTTATAAACTTCAGTTATAGTACTCATCAGCTAAGTGACAGAAATTTTTTTGGTGCTTAATATCAAAGCAAGTTTTACGACTGACTCGGGACTACAGCCAGCATGGATTCACCAAGGGCAAGTCCTGCCTAACCAACCTAGTGACCTTCTATGATGGAGTGATCACATCAGTGGACAAGGGAAGAGCTACCGATGTCAACTACCTGGACTTCCGTAAGGCCTTTGACACAGTCCTACACAACATCCTTCTCTCTAAATTGGGGAGACAGGGATTTGATGGGTGGGCTGTTTGATGGATGAGGAATTGGTTGGATGGTTGCACCCAGAGGGTAGTGGTCAACAGCTCAATGTCCAGATGGAGATCAGTGATCTCCATCTCCCTCAGGGGTCCTTACTGGGACCAGTACTATTAAATATCTTCATCAATGACACATACAGTGGGATATAGTGCACCCTCAGCAAGTTTGCAGACGACACCAAGCTGAGTGATGCAGTTGACACGCCTGAGGGACGGGATGCCACCCAGAGGGACCTGGACAAGCTCGTGGCATGGCCTGTGTGAACCTTATGAGGTTCAACAAGGCCAAGTGCAGGGTCCTGCACTTGGGCTGGGGCAACCCCCAGTATCAGTACAGGCTGGGGGATGAAGGAGTTGAGAGCAGCCCTGCTGAGGAGGACTGGGGGTACTGGTGGCGGAAAAGCTGGACATGAGCCGGCAATGTGCGCTCGCAGTCCAGAAGGCCAACTATATCCTAGGTTGCATCAAAAGACGTGTGGCCAGCAGGTCGAGGGAGGTGATTCTGCCTCTCTACTCCATGTTGGGGAGACCTCACCTGAGTACTGCATCCAGCTCTGGAGCCCTCTGCACAGGGAAGACATGGACCTGTTGGAGGGGGTCTAGAGGAGGGCCACAAAAATGATCAGAGGGACGGAACACCTCTCCTATGAAGAAAGGCTAGAAGAGTTGGTGTTGTTCAGCCTGGAGGAGAAAAGGCTCCAGGGAGACCTTACTGCAGCCCCCCAGTACTTAAAGGGCTCTAAGAAAGGTGGGGACAGAATTTTTAGCAGGGCCTGTAGTGATAGCACGAAGGGTAACGGTTTTAAACTAAAAGAGGGTAGATTTGGACGAAGTATACGGAAAAGTTTTTCACAATGAAGGTGGTGAAACACTGCTTGCCCAGGGAGGTGGTAGATGCCCCATCCCTGGCAACATTCCAGGTCAGGTTGTATGGGGCTCTGAGCAACCTTATCTGCTTGATGATGTCCCTGCTCCCTGCAGGGGGGTTGGACTAGATGACCTTTAAAGGTCCCTTCCAACCCAAAGATTCTGTGACTGGACCTTTGCAAAAATCTACGTAAAGAGAACACAGAATTTTAAGTAAATATTTTTGAAAACCTGTCCTTTGTCTAACTGTATTGGGTTTATGTGGCAAGGTTTTGGTAGCGGAGGGGATGCAGGGGTGGCTTCTGTAAGAAGCGACCAGGGGCTTGCCCCCATGTCAGACAGTGCCTGCTCCAGCCAGCTCCAAAGTAGACCTACCGCTGGCCAAAGCTGAGCCCATCAGTAATGCTGGTGGTGCCTCTGTTGATAACATGTTTAAGAAAAGATTAAAAACACTGTGCAACAGCTTTAAGAGAGAGCAGTGAGGAAAATGGGAGAGAAACAATCCTGCAGACATCAACGTCAGTAAAGGAGAGGTAGGAGGCACTCTAGGCACCAGAGCAGAGATTTCCCTGCAGCTTGTGGAGAAGACCATGGTGAGGTAGGCTTTCCCCCTAGAGCCCATGGAAGACCACAGTGGAGTTAATATCCGCCCTGCAGCCTGTGAAGAATCCAATGCCAGAGCAGTGGAAATGTCCTGAAGGAAGCTGCAATCCATGGAGAGCCCACACTGGATTAGGCTTTCTGGCAGGAGCTGCAACCTGTCGGGGACCCACACTGGAGCAGTCTGTTCCTGAAGGACTCTACCCTGTACAAAGGACCCAGGCTGGAGCAGTTCTTAAAGAACTGCAGCCTGTGGGAGGGACCCATTGAGCCTGGTAAGAAGGGGGTGGGGTTGAGGGGAAGGTGCTTTTAGTTTTGTTGTTGTTTCTCACAGTCCTACTGTATTTTAATTGACAATAAATTAAATTAATCCTCCCCAATTCAAGTCTGTTTTTCTCATGACAGTAAATTGGTGAGCAATCTCCCTGTCCTTATCTTGACCCATGAGGTTTTTTAATACTTTTTATCCCCTGTC